GTACCATTAATTAAGGAGGACATTGAAAAAATTTGGACAGAAAGTGAACCTTAGCAAAGAGCTTGCAGTTATTTTTTGGGAGAAATTAACAGCAAATAGCCCAAAAGTGATAGAATTGATCTTATAAGGAGAGCTAATTGGTTCTTGCCTCGAATTGTATGGCAAAAACCCATATCTGGAGTTCATACATTTTATACAGATGCCAACAAACAAGGAAAGGCAGGTTACAAATCAGAAAATTTAAGTAAAGTGGTTCCAAGTCCTTATAATTCAGTTCAAAAATCAGAATTGTATGCTATTCTGTTGGTATTAATTGATTTTTTAGAACCTGTCAACATAGTAACTGACTCTCAGTATGCTGAAAGAGTGGTATTACATATTGAGACTACAGAATTTATCCCTGATGCTTCAGAATTAACTTCACTAATTATTCAATTACAAGATACAATGAGGAAAAAGAGTCATCCTTTATATATAACTCACATTCAATCCCATACTGGTTTGCCAGGCCCTCTAGCACAAGGCAATGATGAGACTGATAAATTATTGATAGGAAATGTGCTGGAGGCCTCAGAATTTCATAAAAAACATCATGTCAATAGTAAAGGCTTAAAGAAGGATTTTTTCCATAACCTGGCAACAAGCCAAAGAAATAGTAAAGAAATGTCCTACTTGTTCCTTCTACAATCAAATGCCATTACCAGCAGGATGTAATCCAAAGTGTATTCAAAGGAATGAAATCTGGCAGATGGACGTGTTTCACTTTGTAGAATTTGGAAAATTGTAATATGTACACCACACCATCGATACTTATTCAGGATTTCATTGGGCAACTGCTTTGAGTTCTGAAAATGCTGACTCTGTAATCACTCATTTGCTAGAAGTTATGGCCATCATGGGTATACCTGCTCAAATCAAAACTGACAATGCTCCATCATATGTCTCTCTTAAAATGAAACAGTTTTTTGATTATTACAAAATAAAACATATTACAGGACTACCACATAATCCTACAGGTCAAGCAGTTATAGAAAGATCAAACAGAACTCTAAAGGATATGCTAAATAAACAGAAAGGGGTAACAAAAACCCCCAGAAATAGACTGCATAACGCTCTGTTAACTTTGAATTTTCTCAATGTCAATGAGAAAGGAACAACAGCTGCAGAGAGACATTGGATAATAGAAAAAACTACAGAATTAAATCAGCCTATATACTTTAAGGATGTGCTGACCTCAAAATGGAAACCAGGGTATGTATTACATTGGGGATGAGGTTTTGCTTTTGTTTCTACAGGAGAAGATAAGCTGTGGGTACCATCAAAATTGATAAAGGTTCGATTTGAACAAGAGAGGCCTCTTAATTAGAGGAGGTGATAGTTCATCAACCAGCATGAACATCCAATTTAAACTAACTTGTACCACTAACACATGTCTTTTCATTTAATCAGATATTAACTTACCAAAATGGAACATCCCCAAAATTAGTCTTGGGGAAATGTTTTTGTTTTTGTCTTTTAGGAGAATGAAAGTTATGGAATCTGAAGAACACTGGACAAATAAGACAACTGAAGAAAAGGGACAAATCTATCCCAGGAAACAGAGTGAAACGGCGTATGGGTATATATTATCTAAAAAATTGTATGTCTTCCTAAATGTTTGTTTCTGCTTTTCTCTAAAGATTTAACACTATTGGTCTTCTAATAGTCCCAGTTCAATTAAAATTTAAAGCTGACTTTGGAGTTG